AGACGGGGTTTCACCATGTTGACCAGGATGGTCTCGATCTCTTGACCTCATGATCCACCCGCCTCGGCCTCCCAAAGTGCTGGGATTACAGGCTTGAGCCACCGTGCCCGGCCACTTTAGTATTTCATAGAGCTGTGAAACCATCATCCTAATCTAATTTTAGAACATTTTGTCACCCCAAAAAGAAACCCTGCTCCCATTTGCAGTCACTCCCTGTTCCCCTTCTCCCAGCCCTAGACAACTACTAAGCTGCCGTCTGTCCCTGTAGATTTTGCCTTTTTGAATGCCTTCGTAAATGAAGTCATATGCTTTGTGACCTGTCGTGACTGGCTTCTTTCACTGAGCTTGATGATTTTGAGGTTCACCCACATCATAGCATGAATCAGTCCTCATTCCTTGGTGACTTTGTTTTCAAAATGGATGGGAAGGATCATGGCCCTGAAACATCCTCTCCTCTTACATAGGAAGGCCGGAAGGTTCTGAGGCCATTGGCCAATCCCTTCTCACTAAGGAGGACACCCTGATGACAAGTGCTTAAGTGACTGTGATGTTTGGAAACTGTAGCAGAATGGGTGAGGGGCCTGAGAGCCACCATGTGTGTGTGGGGGTCGTTGGCAGGAGAAAGCAAAATAAACCAAGCTAAAGACTAGGAAAGCAGAGCAGAGCAGCTGGGACCGCGGCTTCACCTGGACCACTCCTGGGGGCTGTCTCTAACTCCTGTGTGTCAGGGCGGTCTGATAGTCCGCAGTGAAAAGATGTTTCTGAACAGTAGGGTAGAGCAAGGGTCTCCACAGGGAGGTGAACAGGATGCTCCACTGGGTACACAGAGAGAATATTAGAACTTCAATCATTTTTTTCTCCACCTTTTAAATTATATTCCTGTACAAATTTTATAATGTACATACCACTGAAGTACAGTGTCACATGACTATAATTTGAAAATAAGTACACACATACTGGAAACGTTTGCACATATGCACAGGGGTGTGCATTTGGAAACACAAGAGAAATGTTTTTAAAAATACAAGTGACTGGGCACTAAAAAAACCCAACAACTCCTGAGCGGTTTACACACCACATGTTTTTCCTGTGGTTGCTGTGAGACTGGTAAGTTCATTCATCCATTCAGGGATCCTTTTGACCACAGTGCTGGGCATTCCAGGCCTCAGAGAACTGAACTTACTGCAGTATAGAGGTGACATCCAGGAATACCTGCAGGGGTTTGGCCTTTCTCCCTGCTTTGGTGTAGTCAGCACAGAGGATGGGAGTCACGGGAGAGGTGCATACAAGACCCAGTGCAAACAGCATCTGTCATTGTTAAAACTGCTGGCTTGACTCTGTTCCTGTTCCCTCCCCTCTTTCTCACTAAGTCCTTTGGGGTTACAGACTGGCTTTCTGGCCCTAACTCTGCATTTCCCAGAGGCCCCCCACTCACCATTGTCCCCTATCTGCAGGCTCCATGACGGTGGTGACAGTCAAGGCCGTGGCCGGGATGCTTGTCTTGTCCATTCAAGGGAACCTGCAGCTTGACTACCCCATCTTCTACGTGATGTTTGTGTGCATGGTGGCAACCGCCGTCTACCAGGCTGCGTGAGTTACAAATCCTTTTCCTGCTGGGTCCTGCCATTCAGGCTGCTTCTCTTCTGGGGTCCTGATGACGTACTCTGTGAAGCCAGAGGAGGGCAGAGCATGCCACAGGCCCTGGCATCCAGCGTGGATAGAGGAGCTTCTAATTTGCTGAGTTGTCATGTGGAGGGACACGTGCTGCTCAAAAGACAAAGCAAGGCCGAGCACAATGACCCCCGCCTGTAATCTCAGCTCTTTGGGAGGCTCAGGTGGGTGGGTCACTTGAGGCCAGGAGTTTGAGACCAGCCTGGCCAACATGGTGAAACCCTGTCTCTGTTAAAAAAATATGTATATATATATACCACACACATACACAAATTAGCTGAGCATGGTGCGCATGCCTGTAGTCCTGGCTGTTCAGAAAGTTGAGGCACAAGAATTAAATAAAAAAGAAAGAAATATGAAGCCAGCAGTGGATGAGTTTTTCCCCGTTGCCTCAGAATGAGAATTTTTTCTTTTTTCTTTTTCTTTTTTTTTTAGATAGAGTTTCGCTCTTGTTGCCCAGGCTGGAGTGCAATGGCGTGATCTCGGCTCACTGCAACCTCTGCCTCCAGGGTTTAAGAGATTCTCCTGCCTCAGCCTCCCAAGTAGCTGGTACTACAGGTGTGCGCCACCATGCCGGCTAATTTTTGTATTTTTAGTAGAGACGGGATTTCACTTTGTGGGCCAGACTGGTCTCAAACTCTTCACCTCAAGTGATCCGCTCGTGTCAGCCTCCCAAAGTACTGGGATTACAGGCATGAGCCCCCACACTTGGCCCGAATATGACAAATTTGTGGTTGGAGGCAGCCTCACTTCCCATCTCCTCCGGGGCAGGTGATTGTCTCAGGGGCCTCGGAATGGTGGCCATCTCTAGGAGGCACCTGCTTGTCTGCTGGGTTGGAAAGAAAAGTTGTCATTTCTTGCCCTCAATGTATCGCCTCCAAATCTTCCCAAGTGGAAGGCAAAGTGCCCCCTCCTCTTTCAAGCATGAAGTTAAGTAAAAGGCAGCAGCCTGAGGGCAGGGCCTGTGTCTTGTTTGCATTTGAGTCCCTGAGTCCAACAGAGGGCCTGGGAGGAGGAGAGGCTCTAGGAAATCGTAGGTGACAAACCTGCATAGGTACGCAGGACTCAGCAGTGCTTGAGGCTGATTCAGCCTGGGAAGCTCAGGCTGGGGCTCAAGGTCCACCAGCTGCATGGCCTCCAGGGACCATACGAGCAGCTGCTGCTGGCCCGGTGTTTGGTGTGAGCCCAGCTCTCTTCCCAGTGCTTTATTGAACTGGCTCAGTTGGTCCTTACAACACTCCTTTGACGTTGAGGATACTATCCCCTCTTCCTAGCCTCTTACCCTCTTTGCCTCAGTTCCTCATTTTGCATATGAGGCTAGGAAGAGGCGGAGCCGAGATCTGAACCCAGGCATCTGGCTCCCCAGCCCACGTCCTCACTGCTCTGCTGTCTCCTGCTCAGCTTCTCCAAGATTCAGATTCTTCACCTGCAAATGAGAACAACAGTTCCTACCTAACAGAATCACATGAAGCTCTTAGGAGAACATCTCTAGGCAAATGTCCAGTAAACATGAACTGTTTCTGTGATTATTGGCCTTGGTATTGTTATTTTGGTTATTGTTATTTTTGGTCCCACTATAATTCCAGTCATCACCAGAGAGCTCCTGCCAGTACAAGACTCTGTGCTGAGCACCTCCAGGCATCACAGCCATGGCTCAGATGCCCCGTCTCCTAAGGAGCTACTCATTCACTAGGCAGTGCAGCCCACTGAGAGTGCTCAGCACACAGAGCTGATGAGGGTAACCACTCACTGCCCTAAGGCATTCACCGCCCCAGGAAGAGGACAGCCAGTGAACAAACTATTACAGTCAAGCTGCATGCAGTGGCTCACACCTATAATCCCACCTACTCAGGAGGCTGAGGCAGGAGGAGCATTTGAGCCCTGTAGTTGGAGGGTATGGTGAGCTATCATTGTGCCACTGCGCTCCTAGGCCACAAAGCAAAATAAAAAAATGGAAGCAATTGAGTATGGTATAAGCAACTATACAGAGAAAGGGCAAAGAGGCCGGGCGTGGTGGCTCACGCCTATAATCTTAGCACTCTGGGATGCCAAGGCGGGTGGCTTGCCAGAGCTCAGGAGTTCGAGACCAGCCTGGGCAACATGATAAAACCCCGTCTCTACTAAAATAGAAAAAATTAGTCAGGGGTGATGGTGCGTGCCTATAGTCCCAGCTACTTGGGAGGCTGAGACAAGAGAATCACTTGAATCCAGAAGAGAGAGGTTGCAGTGAGCTGAGATTGTGCCACTGCACTTCAGACTGGGCAACAGAGCAAGACTCTATCTCAAAAATAAAAAAATAAAAAAAGAAAGGACAAAGAATATCTTCCAAAATGGGGGTATTGTTTATCATAGATGGAGTGATTAGGAAGGACTCTAATTTTCTCTCTTTTTCCTGTATTTATTGCAGTGATCACATTATTCATTATTTTCAAATTAAAAATAAATTTGTTTAAAAGAATAATTATAACACTGGGCAGAATGTGATTAGTGCTGTAAGAGTTTCTGGGGGCAGGTGTATAAGAGATACAGGAATGGCTCTTTTTAATGGGGTGGGGATACAGCAGGGTGTGGAGAAGGGCATTTCAGGTGACAGAAACCATACAACCAAAGGTGTGAGACTATGATGGCCTGGCTCACTTGGGAAATGGGGATGGGCCTTAGCTGTGTGTCCAGGGGAATAGTGGGAATCAAGCATGGACCCCAGACCAGGGATACACGGTGCCCTATAACATGAGGGTGGTATTTTTAGAAACCAAAGGAACGTTCCTAAATGTATCAACTTCATATTTCAAACCAAACTCTACTGTTGTCAGCTCTTAGCCTTTCCAGCATCTCCACAGCTCACTGACTGGAGTGCTTTTGTGTTGAAGGTTTTTGAGTCAAGCCTCACAGATGTACGACTCCTCTTTGATTGCCAGCGTGGGCTACATTCTATCCACAACCATTGCTATCACAGCAGGTAAGGGTGGCCCATTGCTAGATTTCCATCTCTACCTTAGCAGCGGGATGTTATCCCAGGGCAGAGGGAGGCTGATTCTGCTGACTTGTTCTCCCTGTAGAGTGATTTATAGGTTCATGGAGAATGTGCAGGATTTCCAGACAGAGAGACCTGGGTTTGTATCCCAGCGCAGACACACACCAGCTGTGTGGCTCTGCAAACTTCACTTAACCTCTCTGAACTTCAGCTCCACATTCATAAAATAGGAGTGATAACACTTACCTCCTAGAATTATAATAGGTATGATCCAAATGTCCCCTGTGCCATACTGTGTGTACTTTAACAAGTTTTGCCATCATCTTCTAGCTCCACAACCCCCACTGGCTAAGTGACCACAAATCTTTTCTATATAATTTTTAAAGATTATGAATATGCATAGCATTGCAACATCCATCGATGCTCAATAAGTGGTCATTAGCACTACAGTCCTTTTTCTTCTATTTCACGTCTAATTTTTTTTTTTTTTTCATTTTCTTTCTGTAGTGGCCTCAGAGGCTGCAAGCATATAAAACTGTTTGTTTAACTGGCATAATAGGTGACTAAAATCTTCAGAGTAAAATATCTAATAAGAACCAAGTGCTTTCCTTTGATGAGAGCCTGGCTGTAAAACCCTATGCTCTGCACGACACTTTAGACAAGTGGTGCCCTAGTTCCCGTCTGAGGTAGGAATACACAAGACACACAGCTTCCAGGGCCCATGCTGTGAGCAGCACCAGAGGCCATGGGGTGTTGATCCAGAGCAACCAGAAGCTAAGCTAAGTCATGGTCAAGAAGCTTGGTCAAGAAGTGTGAAGACCAGTCAAGGCTGAAATTAACAGCAGATGCTGTGGTTGAGTGAGAACAGAAGCCAAGGCAGGGAATCAGGAGCTCAGGAATACAGCTAGAGGCCTGTGTAGGTGAGACGATTCCAGACAAAGACTGGCTCAGGGCAGGGGCAGTAGTCCTACCCCACTCCCATACCACAGGAGTAGACCTGCAGACTTGGCATCTACTGGCCACACGAAGTTAGAAAGCTCTAACAACATAAGCACAAAGCCTTTATCCATCTTAAGAAAGGTGGAGGGGAGAAGATTGTAGGCACAAACTGGTAAATAGGGTCGGTGGTTTAGTTAGTAAGTGTTCTTTGTCGTTTTCCTGCCTTGATCATGCGCTGTGGTTATGGAAGATATGACTGGGGGAAGCTGGAGGAAGGGTGTATGGGGACTCTGCACCACTTTTGTGAGTCTAATATTATCCCCCAGTAAAAGTTAAAAAACTAGATGGAGATCAGAGGGGCCTAAGGTGGGAAAAAGTTGACAACCTGATCCCCTAAATGGCTTTGATTCCATTCTTCTTGTAAGGCACAGTCATAATATATTTTGATCATTTTGGCTTCCTGAGGGGAAGAGAGCTTAGCCAAATCCAGACAGATGGGTGATTTGAAAACAGCTCAGTGGTATTTTCTATGATTTGCTGCTGCAGGTGCAGTATTCTACCTGGACTTCATCGGGGAGGACGTGCTACATATCTGCATGTTTGCACTGGGGTGAGTTCCATCCTGCTTGCTGGCCCCAAGATGTTGCGTGTAGAATTCCAAGCAGGTTGCTCCTCTCTCTCCTTATTGCTACAGCTGCCCCATCCTTTAGACTCAGAGGAGCTGTGGGATTGTGGAGCTTTGTCCTCAGAGGTGAATATTTTATTCCCCTAAGGGCTTTATCTTCCCCTTTCTTCTCTTTTGGACTCTAGTCTCTTTGGCATTTCTCAAATATCACATTTTGACACATGAGAAGGCTCTCAACCTCACCTCGGATCTAAGAAATGCATATTGAAGCTACATGAGATACCATCATTTTGCAAAAACTAACAGGACTGATAGTATTCCACACTGGCAAGAGGATGAGGAGAGCAGCCCACTCCCGCGCTGTTCGCATATTTTAATGTGGGAGGAAAGTTCGCAACAGCAACAAAAAAAATCCAAACAAGCATACTTTCTGATGCAGTATTCCATTCTAACCATTTATCTTGGAAAAATGCTCCAACAGGGATTCAAAGACACATGTATGAAGCTATTTATTAATTTTTTAATTAGTTGTCTCAACAAACAATTGAAAGCAATAGAAATGCTCAGCAGGTTTTAAAAAATTATGCCATATCCAGATAATAGCATGCCATGCTGCCATTTTGAAAATTTGAGGCCAGTCTGTAGGTGCTGACACAGAACCATGTCTAGAACACATTCATCAAAAGAAATCACAAACTTTTAAAAATGTGATATTGGCCAGGTGTGGTGGCTCACACCTGTAATCCCAACACTTTGGGAGGCCGAGGCTGGTGGATCACCGGAGGTCAGGAGTTTGAGACCAGTCTGGCCAACGTGGTGAAACCCCGTCTCTAATAAAAATACAAAAATATCAGCCAGGTATGGTAGCAGGTGCCTGTAATTCCAGCTACTTGGGAGGCTGAGGCAGGGGAATCTCTTGAACCCAGGAGGTAGAGGTTGCAGTGAGCTGAGATCATTCCATTGCACTCCCGCCTGGGCAATGAGAGCGTAACTCTATCTCAAAAAAAAAAAAAAAGAAAGAAAAGAGAAAGAAAGAGAGAGAGAGAAAGAACAAAAGAAAGAAAGAAGGAAAGGAAGGGAGGGAGGGAAGGAAAGAAAGGAAAGAAAGGAAGGAAAGGAAGGAAGGAAATGTGGCCATCGCCTTACCCTATGATCCAGCAATTTCATTTCTAGATTTTCACCCGAAAGAAAGAGTGCATCTGTATTAGTCCATTCTCACACTGCTAATAAAGACATACCCCAGACTGGGTAATTTATAAAGGGAAGAGGTTTAATTGACTCACAGTTCAGCATGGCTGGGGAGGCCTCAGGAAATTTACAATTATGGTGGAAGGAAGCAAACACATCCTCCTTCACATGGTGACAGGAAGGAGAGAAGTACCAAGCAAAGGGGGAAAAGCCCCTTATAAAACCATCAGATCTAGTGAGAATTCACTCACTATCACGAGAACAGCATGGGGTAGCTGCCCCCATGATTCAGTTACCTGCCAGCAGGTCCCTCCCATGACACATGGGGATTATGGGAACTACGATTCAAGATGAGATTTGGGTGGGGACACAGCCAAACCATATCAGCATCTGTTGACAAAATGACTTGCACATGAGTTTTGATATAGTAGCTTTATTTCCAAACTGGAAACAACCCAAATGTCTACCAACAGGAGAGTAGGCAAAACATAGTGTATTCAGACAATGAGTTCTACATAACAATTAAAAATAATGAACTATAGACCAGGAGTACAGGGACTTTCCAACTTTTATTGATTTTACCATCTATACTTTAGTAGTGATTGAAATGAATGACTTTAATTAAAAAAAAATTTTTTTTAAGGCAAGATTCAGAGAATCCTGATTGAATGGAAGTAAAGAACCATGAGAAGCTTGCCTAGGAGAGTCTAATTTATTCTGATGACAGCTCATGGAGAGTGTAGGGCATGTGAGGCCGCTCCAGCTGTTGTTATTCAACTCGCAGCTGCCCCTGCTGATCCCAGGCTGGCAGCCTCTCCCTGCTCCTGGGGCGGTGAGCCCTCCTCCGCAGCCTGCAAGCCTTTTTACCTCTTTCTCTTTCACATCACCTAAGCCTGAAAATATCCCTTCTTGACCTTGCTCCTGTCCTTATTTCTGTTCCTGTCTTATCTCCATTCCTCAGGTGCCTCATCGCATTTTTGGGTGTCTTCTTAATCACACGTAACAGGAAGAAGGCCATTCCATTTGAGCCCTATATTTCCATGGATGCCATGCCAGGTAAGGTTAAAGCCCCCGTGGGTCTAGCTGACCATCCATATAGAATGACAGCTACTTCCTGTTTAAAAAGAGACAACCAACTGCTGTGCCGTGCCTTTATCGTGTGACTGTTCTCTCACTGTCTTTTTTTCTTTTCTTTCTTTTTTTTTAATCTTGTGCAAAAGGGTAGGCAATGGCTGAGGCACCTCAGGTTGGTTTTGAGCACATCTTGCCAGTTCCTTGTCTATTTGGGGATCTTTTAAAGAAAATTCTGATTCATACTCAATATAATTAGGATCTGCAGCCCCAGGCTTCATGCCTGCAAATGGAAAAATCCATTCATCTAGTTGGAATGAAATGATCAGAGAAGGGAAGGAAAATAAGTTGAATGAAATTAAAATACTATAGTCTCATTCCCTGGATGCCACAGCCAGTGGATCGTTCTGGAAAGCCTAGTAAGCTAAAGATTCATGCAGAGAAACACAAATTTAAATGCCTGTAAGCCCTGACAGTAACGTAAACATGTGAATCAGGCAAATACTGCCTAGCAGGGAGTGGTGGAGCCTGTGGAGGACTGCAGAGTGCCTGTCTAGCCTAACGGGATTCTGATTAGAAAAGTTAAGACATTGGACCAACCTCAGATTTGCAGAAGTAAACTCTAGGTTGCTAGTGACCATCAGCTTTCACACTTAACATTTTAATTTTATTTATACAAGACGGAACTCTCTCTAAAACATAATCTCCAGTCCTTCATGAACACAATCTAATGAACAAAACATAAACACATTGACGGTCTAGAGTACTGCTTACTCGAGAGGTTTTCATGCTGTAACACTGTGATGCAGGTGTGTTCTCAGGGCTGACTGTTGTGCCCCTACATTAAATGGCCCCAGGGTTTATGTGCCTACTTTTTATATTAGTTCCTCCTCCTCTCTTGTTATTAAGCTGTTGTCTGTCCTTCTTGCTGTTATCAGCCTGCCCGAGTATAGCAACTCCATGTGAGTGTGTTCATTCAACCCAACTTGTTCAAATTACGAATAAAGTCAAAATGTAGGAGCTCTGAGTTGGGGGCCTAAGGTTTCTCCTAGGAGTTAAGTGCATGAGCTTTGGTTGCATGAACTATTTAAACGTCTAATCTGGCTGCTCAGATTCCTTTTTTGCTAACTTCCTTGTTTCTCGGCTGTGTTCCGGATAGATGAGGGCGCTGGATAGCTGAATTCCAGATAGGTGAGGTGTCAACTCTGTGTGTGCAAGTATGTGTATATATACGTGTGTTTGTGTGTTTATAAACTATGTGTGTGTATATATCAATATCAGTATTTGTGTGTATATATATATATACAGATGTATTTTCTGGTGGAAAATAGAAGGTAACCTAAGGTAATCTTAGATATCAACATTCTGTGGTCTGTTTGTGGGTGTGGCTCTCAGCATTCTCTGTACCTTGTGACCAGTGGGAAGTCAGATATTGAAAACAGGGAGACCCTGCCCTTGCAGTGGCTTGTCAGGACCCTTCCAATGGTAGGTGTTCTGTACTATGAAGAGTGTGGGCTTGGAGTTCAGATGACCTGGATTCAAATCCCAACTCTACCACCTTCCTGCTGTGTGACCCCCCCCAAGGCCTCTCATCCTCACTTGTAACTGGGGTTCCTTCTTTCAGACTAGTGCTCATATGTGTAAAGGGCCTTTTGCACGGTGTCTGGGACATGGTAGATGCCTGATTATATTTGGTTTCACTTCCTTTTTGCTTTAAAAACCTTTGGAAGTTTCACACACTTCTTTGACCTGGTGGCAGGTAGAACATGCAGAATAAACTGCTAAACAAGTCTCAGCCTAAACAGAGGTGCGTTTCCAGCCACTGGGTTTCCCTGGTCAGTATTAGGACCTTGCTTTTTGTTTACTTAGATTCGTAGCTTCACAACTGACAAATGCTGTTCAAGACATATTCAAATTCCAGAAATTTACTACATCACAATGTGGAGAGCCTTTAAGTAATTCAAGCATCTGAAAGACTTCTTAAAAATGAGAAAGAAAAACACAGCCCCTGACCTCCAGGAGCTAGCCTGGCCCTCTCAGCCAGCCCTTTCTCTCCTGTAGAACAGAAACAATTTCACAGAACATCAGCAACAGACAAGGCCACTCTGCAGCTGTGATGGATCAGGACACAAGCAGGTGGAATGGGAAGAAAAGGGTTTTTTCCTAAAATTAAAAATGAATAATAAAGAACACAAACAGTACTACTCTGCTATCCTGTCTAAACACAGACAAAAAGCAGACATTGTCCAAATTATGAAAAACACCAAACGTCCCTCTTACCTTGCTAATGTGACAGACTGCCGCTTTTTTACCAGCCACAGCTTTAGCTTCAATCTAGTCGTCTTCTAGATGAGAACTAAGATCCCCAATTATGGAGTTAGGCCTGCTTCCTGACAGCATCCAATCCAAAGCAAAGCCTCACTTCCTTGAATCCTCCCCAGAATCACCTAGTCCAAGCCAACCCCACAGTAACTCCTTTCTAACACCCTCTTACTCAGATGGCTCATGGTTCCCTGCCATGTACACCTCTCTCATTGCAATGTGTCAGCAAACCCACATTTGTTAAACTAGAGATGTATTTCTGTTGGGCTTTGGCTGGAGGGCATTGACAAAATCCAAAAACTAAACCAGGCCTGTTAAGCCAACTCTCTTCCCTGAGGACAGGTACCTCCTCAGCTCTTCCACTTCCCTCTTCTGCCCTCCCCCAAAATCTAAACCATGGCCTCTTAAACTGTGCCCTTCAAAGAACCATCAGCTAAGTCTTATGCAATAGAGAGCCAAAGGGCCTTTCACAGAGTTGGTCTTCCCAGGCCGTTTGCAGAGTGAATAAGAGCACAGGCTCTGCTGTCAGATCCCATCTCTGTCTCTCATTAGCTGTGTGACCTTGGGCAAGTTACTTTACCTCTCTGAATCTCTTCTTATCCAGGAAATGAGGACTGTAGTTCATCTCTGTCATAGGATAGTTTGGGGATTAAGCACAGGTATATAGAGAAGCCACGCAGCATTCAGTTCAGAGTATGGACATCTGAGTTTAAACCCCCTGAGTTTGAACCCTGGCATGCTGCTACATTAAATGGCATTAAACTGAGGGTTCCTCCTGACAGCAGCTGGTCTGTGCGCCTGTTTCCTTACTAGCTGTGATCTCAGGCAAATTACATGCTTTATTTCTGCTGCTTCATTTTCCTTATCAGTCATCCTGGGGATTAAATGAGATAGAACTTTATAGCTATTTAGAGCAATACCTGCCACCACCGAAATACTCAATACACATAAGCCATGGTCATTATTGCCATTGTCGTTACTGTGACTATTTAAAGTGCTTAGCCCAGTCATTGCAATGTGTCAGTAAACCCATATTTGTTAGACTAGAGGGGTATTCCTGTTGGTCTTTGGCTGAGGGGCATTGACAGAATCCAAAAGTGAAACCAGACCTGCTAAGCAACTCTCTTCCCTGAGGACAGGCACCTGTAATCCCAGCTGCTTGGGAGACTGAGGCAGGAGGATCATTGGAGCTCCAGGTGTTCAAGACTAGTCTGGGAAACATAGACTCTACCTCAAAAAAAGAAAAAGAAAGTGCTTTAGCCCAGTGCCCAGGGCACATTAAGCAGTTAGATGTCAACTGTAATTATCATCATAGTTTCGTTGCATTCAATTTCTTATGACTCAACCTGAAGGCAGAATTTGAAGAGTCTTAATTCCCTGCAGGAAAAGTTGTCCTCAAAAGTAACCTGAATGGCTCACACCTGTAATCCCTACACTTCCGGGAGTCCAGGGCAAGCGGATCACTTCAGCCCAGAAGTTTGAAACCAGCCTGGGCAACATGGTGAAACTTCATCTCTTCCAAAAACCCACAAAACTTAGCCAGGCATGGTGGCATGCACCTGTAGTACCCGCCACTTAGGAGGTTGATGTGGGAGGATTGCTTGAGCCCCAGAGGTTGAGGCTGCAGTGAGCCAAGGTCACTCCACTGCACTCCAGCCTGGGCAACAGAGCAAGACCCTGTTTCAAAAAAAAAAGTAACCACATCCCTCCCGACCTGACTAGGGGAATTGTAGGATAAAGGTAAAAGAATTAAAGATTAAAGGCTTTGCCCTCAAATGTAAGTGGAAATCCCTCGTCAAAGTACCCAGAAGTAATAATAAGCAAATCTCACCTTCCCCTATATGTGGATCAGGAGGGACATTAATGTTAAAGGCCAAGATGCTCCCTCTGGGCATCATGATGCGTCTGTCACCTTCAGGTGCCCAAGACACAAAAATTACCCCCTTTCCTTGATGAAGTTTCCTGGATCCTGATTTAATTCAGCAATGAAGTGTTGGCATCTACCACGTTCGAAGCACAGTGCTAGATCCACTCCACCTGGGGCCCACACCAACATTCCCACCTCACTTCAGGCCAATTGAGGGTTCCTCCTGACAGCAGCTGGTCTGTGCGCCTATTTCCTGAAGATTCATCCCTTGTTGCTTAGCAACCATAATAGTTCCAGTGTATATTTGTGGGTGTTCTCTTTAAATCTAAAGCATTCAGGAAATTGACAATGCACATGATTAGCTGTTGAGCACTATAATTAGTATGTGGTGGGGTAGAGGGAGATGCGGCCCCCTTGGCCCCCTTATCATGTAATGATGTGGGGAAAATGGATTTCATTTCAGGTATGCAGAACATGCATGATAAAGGGATGACTGTCCAGCCTGACCTCAAAGCTTCTTTTTCCTATGGGGCTCTGGAAAACAATGACAACATTTCTGAGATCTACGCTCCTGCCACGCTGCCAGTCATGCAAGAAGAGCACGGCTCCAGAAGTGCCTCTGGGGTCCCCTACCGAGTCCTAGAGCACACCAAGAAGGAATGAGACTTGCCTCCCTTGATTTATAACTGTTCCCGCCAGGCCAACAGCGGTTCAACCCTGAATCCTAAAACTTGCCTTTTACGTCTCATTTTGTTTTTAACTGAGAATCTACGGAGGATGATCTCAGAAAGCCTTTGTCTCTGGCAATGGATGCATTATCTTGGTCTTGAAAATTTCAAATGATGAAGGTGGGGGATGGAAGCAGTATTCCAGGTGGGCAGGATGGAATTCAGCCTCTGCTGGATTAGCCCAGTGGGATTTGGAAAGCCTTTCTATCATCCTTGAGGATGGTAACTGAGCTTCCTCCAACAGCAGCCAAAGGTTGCTTAGCTTCAGAGCTAAAACAAGGCAGAGAGTCTGCTGTTAATTCTCAAATCCAGGGAAAGGTTGGACACCTCTAAATCTCTTCTTTCTCCACCTCATGTGCATGTCTGATCTCTCCCTGTCACACTCCTGATGCCGTATCTGTGATAGCATTCCTGTCACCTTCACATGACAGGCTGGACCAGCCCTGGGTGGAAGGTTCTGACATTTGTGTTTCAGAAATGTACCCCTACCTTCCAGTCATCTGTGCCCTTCTAGGAAAGATGTGCTTGATATATTCAAATTGGATCTACTCTGAAAAGTAATTTGGTTATGGTCCTGTGAGGACTACTTGTTTGTCTGCCCTGTGCCCCTAATGGAATTAGGAAGTTAGAAGGGGAAGAATAGGAGAATAGGAGAGGGTGATGTTGCTTCAGTCCATTAAGGAAGAAAAGTCCCCCTTACTCTTACAAAAGGTGATTGCACCACTTAAAAAAGAATAGGTAGAAAATATGATCGTTTTATGTGTTGTTTCCTGCATACCAGTGCCCCTGGGAAGATGGGGATGCTTGTTTCAAAGACAGCCTCTTCACCTGTCCTCCTATCTCTCCATTACAGAGTCACAAGTCAAGCTCAAGTTACTGGTTAATTTCCTTGAAATCAATAGAGACTCTGGGTCCTCATCCCCACACATATAGGTCTGGGAGAAGCAAGCATTCTCAAAAACAGGGCTGTTGCTTTCTTTCTGGCTGCATATATATTTGACTGTCTTCCCCTAGACTGATGGTATACTTTTGAGAGGGGCAGATAAAGGTTTGCAAACTTTAATGGGCATAAGGATCTCCTAGGGGTGTATGTAAGATGCAGATTCGTGCACCCCAACTGCAGACACTCTAAGTGGGACTGGAGTGGGGTCCAAGTGTCTGCATTCTTAACTGGTACCACCCGTGATTCTGATGTGATGCTGCAATCCTGAGATTTCACACCTGGAAAGCTTAGTAATTTAAAAAGATGTTCTGCTAAAACCCCCAGGGCTCCATGCACCCTCACTAGAAAGTTTCCTCTCAAGGGTTCCTTTGGCAGGTTAAGTAACCCCCATAGGATCTGTGGCATTTCTTAGAGCTACACTCACCAATTCCCTAGACAGCCTTTAATAGGCATGATAACAGTGTTAATAGACCAGTGTTGATAGATCATTTATCTTTATTGATTGTGCTTAATACTGATTTAGTACCTTGACTTCAAAACTGACATCTATTGCCTGTGATAACCACTTCTGTATTGTGTCTTAACTGCCTAAGACGGCAACAGACAGTGGGCTTTTCCTTAGGGTGGGTATCAACTCAATTCAATATTTATAAGGCATTTACTATGTGTTAAGCATTTGGAAGGCCAAAGCTACAAAGACAAGACATAGTTCCTGCCCTCCAGGCCAGAAGAGGGAGCCACAAATACCCAGGAATCTCTGAGTGGTGTGAAGTGCGGTCGTGGGCCACAGAAAATGACAGTGATGGAGACCCTGCTAAAGGTCAGACCCTGGGCTCAAAGGGGTATTCAGAAGTGGAGATTATTTTGGCCCCACTCATAGTTGGGTGGCAAATCTAAGATTTGCACAAAGCATATGAAAATAGGGTGATCACCTCTGTGGCAGAGGGGCCAGCATTTGCAAAGGCACAGAGATTAAGAGGAGCTGGGCAAAGAAAAGAGAGCCAGGGAAGGTGGTAGGAGACAGGGTTCAAAGCTAAGTAGTAGAAGCTGGGCCCAGTGGCTCACGCCTGTAATCCCGGCACTTTGGCAGGCCAAGGCTGGACGATCGCTTGAGCCCAGAGGCTTTATATCAGCCTCGGTAACAGCAAGACCTTGTCTCTCCTAAAAATTAAAAAAAAAAAAAGACTGGGTGTGGTGGTACATGCCTGTGATTCCTGCTACTCAGGTGGCTGAGGTGGGAGGATCGCTGGAGCCCAGGAAGTCAAAGCTACAATGAGCCATGATCACACCACTGCACTTAACCTGGATGACAATGAGACCCTGTCCCAAAAAAAAAAAAAAAAAAAAAAAAAAGCAGTGGAGGTCAAATCATGGAGGATCTTGAATACCTGGCTAAGGAGTTTAAAGTGTATCTTAGAAAACATGGGAGCCATTGATGGTTCATGAGGAAGAGAAGGGCAGGATGAGCACTGATTGAAAAGGAGGGCTTATTCAGCATGGAGGAAGAATCAGAAGGGAGAATAAGTTACTTTCTTCAAGCCTGCAAGAACAAAAAACACAAAGTGGAAATTAAAATCAGTTTTCACTGCTATTTATATATTCCTCCTTTCCCAAGTGATTTTTCTAAAGCTGGGAGTGGGGACAGGAGGGAGAAAGGGAAGGTGAGCAGGGATGCTATTTAGATGTACCAAACCTAGGTGATCAGTAATAATTTAGGCATATATGTGCTCCCAAACTTATTCTTCCCCCTTCCTTCCTTTTTTTTTTTTTTTGGTATGAGCCTTTTAGCTTTGGAGCCAGCTTTCTTGAGATGAGTGAATGAATGTGCTTTGTAATTTCAGGTCTGCTGCAGATCATGGGGACAGCGCCACCCAGGAACTGCTTCTGCAGCCTGGGAAGCTCCCTTGCCTTCGGGTCTGGGGCAGTGGCATCATCCCACAAAGCTGAGCCATGAAAGGGCCAAGCAGAAAGTTAGATGGTGGGTTCCTGAGTGGAAGCCATGCACAGGTCACTTGAGTAGTCAGGAAGAACAGCTGATGTGGAGCCGTCATCTATCTTGGGCTGGTTCCTCCTGGTCTTTGTCCTGTGATATAAATGGACTGTCTGCTGATGGCCATACGCAGCACTGGCTGTTAGGATGGGGAAGGGATGCCTGGGAACCAGGTGTGCCCAGGCATCAGATTTCCACTACTCACGGCTCTGACTTCCCCAAGCCCTCTTGAATGCTCCAAGCAATGTTAAATTTCACACCTGAATCTCCTTCCGAGCAGCCCAGGTACCTAAAGCAAGGTCACCAAACGTGCATTTAAACTTCAGTTGCCATCATATCAGGCTTCAGGTTATGCAGTTTGCAGCTTGGAGTTGAACGCTTGGTGGAGAAGGGAGGGCTGACTCCCCATTGCTTTTCTAGTGGAAACCAGCCAGTTTGATGGCGCTGTGCAGATAAAGGACTCCATCAGGCTAGTGCTGGAGAGCCAGCCCTGCAGCCTTCCTTGTGAATTCACATCTGTTCCAACACTGGCCAATAGGCAGAAAAAAGGTTATTTGTGTGTTTCTATGAGAAGCTGAGCAAATGAAGTCACCATGAAGTATATATTCTGTGCGGATGCTTATATTTTGTTAACTTCCCGACTAACGTGGCATGTCTTATTTAAAAAAAAAAAAGTAATAGGTGCCAATAATATTATGAAGTGGTATTTAATTAAAAATCCATGCAGTGACAGCTGAGTTCGTGTCTTATGTTTGGCTGATACTTCCTAGAATTATCTAGAACAGTACTGTCTAGTAGAGTTTTCTGTGATAATGAAAGTATTCTACGTCTGTGCTGCCCAGTATGGTAACCACTGTCCACATGTGGCTGTTGAACACTAAATGTGGCTAGTGCAACCAAGGAACTGAATGTTTAATTTCATCTAATTACATTTCCATATGTAGCTTGTATATTAACAGTACAGATCTAGAGATGCCCATAATTGCAGTTGAGTCTGACTTGAGCTTCTCTGGTGACCCTCACTGTGGTTAAAAGCACAGACTCTCTGTCTACACTGCTTGGATTTGATTCCTGGCTCTCTCACTTGTTAGCTGTGTAGCATTGGGCAAGTTACTTAACCTCTCTGTGCCTCATCTGTGAAACAAGAATAACAGCATTATTATTATGGATTGTTTTAGGGATCGGATGAGTTAGATGTAAAGTCTTAGAACTATATTGAGCATCCCATCAGGACATTGTATTATATTGAAACTGGTTTTTTTCTCTTTATTCTTTTTTAAATTATATAATGAACACTTTAAGCATTTCTAAGCACATATGTCTCTTCATTCTGAGTATCCAATTTACAAAGGCAGGTGTAGTATGGTACCAGTATATTTATTTGTACAGTCACAAAAATGCAGTCATTTATATATACTCATATATTAAGCACTTTATGCCACATGAAATATTAAGACCTCATATTTACATCTCATTTCTCCTTTATAACAGTTCCATGAGGTAAATTTTAATCTTATTCTCATTTTACAGATGAAGAAACTGAGACTGGCTGGGCATGGTGGCTCATGCCTGTAATGCCAACACTTTAGGAGGCCAAGGCGGGAGGATCACTTGAGCTCAGGACTTTGAGACCAGCCTGCACAACATAGCAAGACCCCATCTCTACTAAAAAAATAAAAATAAAAATTAGCAGGCCTGGTTGGTTAATTTTATGTCGTTAATCTTGTCCTCGTGTGACTATAGTCCCAGCTACTCAGGAGGCTGAGGCAAGAGGACTGCTTGAGTCCAGGAGATGGAGGCTGCAGCGAGCCATGATTGCATCTCTGCACTCCAGCCTGGGCAACAGAGAAAGACCCTATCTCCAAAAGAAAAAAAACTGAGACTCAGGTCTCATAGCTGGTGAATAGCAGAGCCAGTATTTGACCCCAGGACTGCCTGACTTCAAAACCTGAGCTCTTCCCTCTACTGTGCTGCCTTTCCTGGTGTGGGCAAGTGGGATTTTAATGGGAGTAAATTCTGCCATGCATTAGGACATCACCTTTGGCCCGGTTTCAAAGGAGGGTGCAGACTTGAAGGACAGAAGCTCATTAGCTGAGTCTCTGGGACCATGTTTGCAATGGTCTCACCTGCTAACCAGACGAGGGAATAAAATTCGGTCTCACAGAGTTGGGCGGAATTTTAGAATCATCCACGACTCTGAGACTTTATTTCATGCAACAGTACAATTTTAAAATAGAGATTGACAAAGAGTTACTTTTTATAGTTACTCTTGTTCTCATTTTTTGTTGTTTATTCTGTTATTTTTATTAGTTTTTAATTTTAGTTTCATGAAATAATAAAATATTTAGATTGAGATTGGCAAAAGGTTATGTCGTTAATCTTGTCCTCGTTAATTTTTTTGTTCAGTTTTTATTTTACTTTTTGGTTTCATGAAATAGTAAAAATTTTTAAATAAATAGAAATTGGCAAAAGTCTAACTCTTTTTGTAGCTCATCCTGTTCTCTTTAATATGTTCCTTATTAGTTTCACTACAAAATCAGCTTATTACTTTCACTACAAAATCAGCTTTCTTTTTGTTCAAACAAACAATAAAAAAGGAAACAAAGTCCAAGCCTTGTCTAAGAAAAAGATGATGTTTGGTGCAGCAGCACCGTGTTCTATCATCACCTTATTAAATGTCAAAATGCACCAAGCAGAATATTTAAAATTATAAATATAAAACAACTGCAGCTGGGCATGGTGGCTCACTCCTGTAGTCCCAGCACTTTGGCAGGCCAAATTTGGCGGATCACCTGAGGTTCGGGAGTTTGAGACCAGCCTGGCTAATATGGAGAAACCCTGTCTCTACTAAAAATACAAAATTAGCTGGGCATGGTGATACACACCTGTAATCCCAGCTACTCGGGAGGCTGAGGCAGGACAATCACTTGAACCTGGGAGGTGGAGGTTGCCGTGAGCTGAGATCACACCATTGCACTCCAGCCTGGGCAATCCATCTCAAAAACAAAACAAACAAACAAATGCAAGCCAAGAAACAAACATTTTCCCGTTGTGATGCCATAGGGCACTCAGGTAGGAGCATAGTTTTGTGAAGGCTGCCCAGATGTAATGAGAGAAGATTCACATGGCAGCCAGAGCATTGCTTTCTGCCTTCTCCGGCTTATACAGAAATGTGAGGCACTCTGGAAACTTTGATGCACTTAATTCTCAGGATTACTTTGTAAAAAGTTAAAAGACACACACAAAAAAACCAGAAATCCCTATCTTTAGCTCTCCCGTTTGTTTTTTAAACAACAGCATCAGAAATACAGCTATGTGGTTATCCCTACACTCTGATCTTAGAAAGTGCAGCTGTGTAGGCCATCCCTGTGTCGGGAGGATACAGGAAACTAGACAGCAATTTCTTATATTGTCTTATAATTATGAAAATATCTTCTATCAAAATTGTCAAGTCACAAATGTGTCTTCATATGAATGAGGCGAGGCATCTTGGCATATGTTCATGTACTATTTGTTGTTGTTTTGAGATGGAATCTCCCTCTGTCACCAGGCTGGAGTGCAGTGACACCATCCTGGCTCACTGCAGCCTCCACCTCCTGGGTTCAAGCGATTCTCCTGCTGAGACTCCAGGTGCGTGCCACCATACCAGGCTAATTTTTTGTATTTTTAATAAAGACAGGGTCTCACCGTGTTGGCCAGGATGGTCTCGATCTCCTGACCTCGTGATCCACCCGCCTTGACCTCCCAAATTGCTGGGATTACAGGTGTGAGCCACCACGCCCAGCCTGTTTTTCCCCCCTCCCTGAGAACAGAGTTTTGCTCTTCTTGTCCAGGCTGGACTACAAAGGCGTGATCTCGGCTCCTTGAAATCTCCACCTCCTGAGTTCAGGCAATTCTCCTGCCTCAGCCTCCCAAGTAGCTGGGATTATAGGCATGCACTACCATGCCCAGCTAACTTTTGCATTTTTAGTAGATATGTGGTTTCACCATGTTGGTCTGGCTGGTCTCGAACTCCTGACCTTGGGCGATCCACCTGCCCCTGCCTCCCAAAGTGCTGGGATTACAGGCGTGAGGCACCATGCCTGGCCACTATTTGTTCTTCCTGTAAATTGTCCATATGCTTTGCTCATCATTCTATGGCTCTTTCGATTTCTTGTTGATTGCCAAGTGCTCTTCGGTATCAATTAAACTTTTCTTTGTGATAACACAATCATTTCCCTCCAATTTGTTAACTTGCCTTTCAATTTGCTTGTAGTATTTACTTTTACTATAAAAAAGACTTTTTCTTCTGTGCTTTTTGTTTTACATATAATTATTTCTATATATATGTTATTTACTTATGTAAATATTTGTATTATATACTCGAATGTCTTGTGTTTTATAGCTTCTGGTTTTTGAATCATAGTTTGAAAGGTCTAACTTACTCCAAGATTGTAAAAGAATTCCCCATGTCATCTTTGAGTAATTTTAGGGTTTTTTTTTTTTTTTTTTTTATGCCAGTTTTACTAGACAATAGTCTGGTTGTATGTTTACATCTGAAAGCCATTTGGAGTTTTTTCTGCTTCACAGTGCAAGGTATGGATCCAACTTTATTCTGCCAAGATAGCTACCAAGCTCTGACAATACCATTTATGGAAGAGTCCAACTTTGCCCAAAAGAATGGGATGCCACTTCTATAATACACTAAATATCTATATTTTGAGACTTGCTATTCTGTTCCATTGGTCTGCCTATACATTCACCAGTAATACTGTTTCAATTATCGAGGCTTTCCAATATGTTTTAAAATCTGTTTGGACAAGTCTCAGGTCCTTGCTCTTGTTCTAACTTATTTTGTCAAATTGGAACATAGAAAGTAAAAAAAATACCCTACTATCCTGTCATTTCATTTAAAAAAGATGTTAACACCAAAATAGTAAGAAGAGCAAAATCTCATAATAGAGAGTAATCCTTTAAACTGAATAATTTAGCTTTATGAAAAATGTCAGACATTGTCATGATTTGCCTATTTTGCTGCAGGCTGCTAAGATGGGACCAGCATTGCAGAGCCACCTTGGTCTTGGTACAGATGTAAGGAGAGGGAGGGCCGTAGGGAGGATGTCCCTGGCTGGTTAGCTGCAGGCACAGGACTTGAACTCAGGTCTTAGGACCTCTGGTCTCCTCCTTTTAACACCTCCTGCATCCTACGCCCACTACCTTTATTGAGCTTTCACTCTGGGCAGGCACATTACATACATTAGGTATTTCCTTGTCACAATGGCCCCACAAGGAAGCCGTTCAACCCCTGTTATATGATACAAATGTGGAAACCGAGGTTCACGGAAGTTCAGTAATTTGCCTAAGGCCACCTGGTGGGTAAGTGGCAGAGCCTGGATTCAAACCTACATATGACTGACTTCAAAATCTGTATTTTTTTTTATTCAGTCTTCTACATATCAATAGGCAATAATTATTTTAATTTATTTTTATCTATTTTTATTTTATTTTTTTACATAGAAACTTCCCTGGATTCTGAGTAGTGCAGTAGCTATTGTAAATCTTCATAAACTTCCTGGGCCAAGCCATCTGTCCTTTCTTTGACATATCTAGTATATCATTTCTTTTTCTTTTTTTATTCTTTTTTTGAGACAGAGTCTCACTCTGTATCGAGGCTGGAGTGCAGTGGCGCAACCTTGGCTCACTGCAACCTCTGCCTCCCGGGTTCAAGCAATTCTCCTGCCTCAGCCTCCCAAGTAGT